GCTGGTCCTTTGCTGGTTTAAGCTGGTCCTTTGCTGGTTTAAGCTGGTCCTTTGCTGGTTTAAGCTGGTCCTTTGCTGGTTTAAGCTGGTCCTTTGCTGGTTTAAGCTGGTCCTTTGCTGGTTTAAGCTGGTCCTTTGCTGGTTTAAGCTGGTCCTTTGCTGGTTTAAGCTGGTCCTTTGCTGGTTTAAGCTGGTCCTTTGCTGGTTTAAGCTGGTCCTTTGCTGGCTTATGCTGGTCCTTTTGCTGGTTTATGCTGGTCCTTTGCTGGTTTAAACTGGTCCTTTGCTGGTTTAAGCTGGTCCTTTGCTGGTTTATGCTGGTCCTTTTGCTGGTTTATGCTGGTCCTTTGCCAGCACATGACCAGCATAAACCAGCAAAAGGACCAGCATAAACCAGCAACGGACCATCTTAAACCAGCATACCAGCATCAGAACATACCTAACCAGCATATGCTGGTTTTTTCAACAGGGAAAACAGACAGTCAAACAGTGAACTATCTACAAGTGCACAACAAAAAGAAAATCTAAAGTAGCCTACCAAAGAAACAACAAACAGGACAAATAAACAGAGAAAAATCCAAAACCCTTGGTTATTGGAATTTAAGAGTTTGATGTTTTATCCAATGCAATTTGACATTCTCCACAATGTTTATGTGTGGCTTAAGTGTCCAAATACTTTTCAGAGTATAACATCAATTTATTCGTAAAATAAAGTCAACAAATAGCCTACCACCAGATGCCACCAGAGTACTGATATCTGGTTGAGAGCTCTTTATTTTGTAATGAGGAGCGATTGGGGTTGTTTCTAGTTTCTTGTTCATGAAATAATCTGATATAAATTTAAACCGAGTCAAATTTTCAAAGCTATATTTGCATTTTCTGTTCATTCATGGTGTAGTCGTAGAATGTGAAAAATGATAATACTCAATTGTATAAAATTCAAAAACGTGTTTACTAATGTAGCCTAATAAGCTTTATACTTGCATTAAATAATCTGATATAAGGTTATCCGGAGCCAAATATAGGTAAAGCTATTTGCATATTCCTTCAAAGTCAAGTCATAAACTGTGAAGAATAATAATACTAAACTGTATCAAATCCAAAAATGTGTTTGCTTATGTGATTTTCGTAGCTTATTGTTTGATTTGCCCATGCATAAATACAAGGAAATTAATGTTCAGGTCCTCACAGGAACTCAAAATAACTGCGTGGGATGAAGCGATATACAGAAGTGGCTTTCAATCTCTTCACTCTCGTCAATTGCGATTTCGCTGAAACTGTATTGAAACTGTTTGAGTAAATGTGGGCGTTCAACTCAAATGACATTCCCTTATTTTCATTCACCTACAATCTGACAGAGTGTTCGAATGTAGCAACTCTCCACCATGAAACAGATTTTTCTTATAAGGTGTCTTCAGGCTTTATAAAGGTCAGGGTCCTGTCGGATACTCTACACCCGAGGATGCACTTACTCTTACATTATAGAGACGCGAAGAGCAGCGCTCTACAGATCGGGGGAGGAGTCACAACACGATCACCTAGTAACCAGTAACGTAAACTGACCAGAAGGGTCGTAAATACGAAACCCGATCCGCGAAGTCGGATCTTTCGTGCAGCTGCTTCAACGCTCGCAGACTGAACTTGTCTCGAGATTGAGAAGACAACCCTTGCGGATTTGAAAGGAATAAAGAAAAAGCAATACGCAACATATGGACAACGTTGAAAAGCGTCGATTCGCGAGGTTGGTAGTGAGAGACAGGAGTTCATAAATAGACAACGGAAGCTTCCTCGAGCCACTGGAATAAACCCGCAATTTCACACATTTTCATTTGGTAGGTTTTGGCATTTGCATGTTATCATTTGGTATAATAATTTTCATATTTGCAATGTTTTCTACCATGACATTTTAATGAACTTAAGAACTTCGAGACGGCGAAAGTAACTAACGTTACTTCTAGTAAAGCGAATGAATCGAGAAAGTTTTCTCCTTTTGACTGGAGATAATGGATCACAAATTGCTCAAGCATGTTTATTATTATTATTATTATTATTATTATTATTATTACAATGAACATTCAGATATATAGTGTTATTCTTATAGACCACCAGCGGCGAAAAATAATTAGATAAACAACATACTTTTTGTTAACTGGTTTTGTGTTTTTGTACCTTAAAGTACATCACATGCACACGTCCGTCGTTAATTTGCGCTGACAAAGTCAGAAAAAGTTCCCGAGTGCATTACTTTACTTTGTGTCGTTCCTCTTTTTTGAGCTGCTGTTATGCTCTAGTTTGTAAACAATATGTGTCTTCACAGACCTCACGCGATGAAAGCGTGCGCGTCCCTGTCTGACGTAGCGAGTTGATTGTTGGCTTCAGCGGTCAAGCTGGTCATATTATGTTCTTTTGTATTACGTTCAGACGTCTCAAGTGAGGATCACGTTACAAAGTTAATAACTGAGCTACACAGCACGAACATACTCGGGTGGTTGCAGCGGAGCTTTCAAACAAAGCGCAAGTCAAGTTTCTCTGATGAGCTGTTTCGCGTTCTGATAAGTTCTGGAAGCCTGTATAGCTGAGTAAGAAAACATAATTGATTATATTACCAAACAGTCACTACAGAAGTGGATGACACATCAAATGTGTGGTCCAGGTTTTTCCTGTGTTTTTAGGACAGAGTTTTGTTAAAGAGATAAAAAAAAGAAAGAAATCTACTTACTATGTTGTTTTAAAGGGGTCATATGATGCGATTTCAAGTTTTCCTTTCTCTTTGGAGTGTTACAAGCTCTTGGTGCATAAAGAAGATCTGTAAAGTTGCAAAGACTGAAGTCTCAAATCCAAAGAGATATTCTTTATAAAAGTTAAGAGTCAACCATGCCTACCTAAAACGGCTCGTTCTAACACGCCCCCACATGTCTACGTCACTATGTGGGAAGATTTGCATAACGCCGCCCAAATGTTCACGCAAAGAAAGAAGGCGTAACTTTTATTCTCGCTGTAGTATTGTTGCTGCCGCCGCCGCCGCCATGTCGTGAAGGCGCTGTGTGTTTCGTTGTGAAAGCGAAACTACTTTGTTTGGTCTTCCAAAAGAGGACGATATCCGCTTCGTCATGCCTAGAGCTGATCTGTGCTGGTCGCTGAGGGAATACATCAACTTCACGCTGTGGATCGCCGGATCGGCTTTCACCGTGGACGAAGCGGAGTCCAGCCCGGGGTCGTCACATGTGGTTGCCGCAAGCCCGCCAGCCGCTCCTTTGTCGAAAGGGCCGGCTGCGCCGTCCTCAAGCCCGCCCGCCGCCGCTCACTCAAGACCTCCGGCCGTTCCTCACTCTAGCCTCTAGATCCAACGCAACGCGTAAAAAGACAGAAAAAAGTCATTACAATCCATAATTATGTCCCCACTGGATGCAACAAATGCCTCGTCTATAATAGGTTTTAATGTTTTTGTCTCGTTGCTCCGGCCGGGACACGGCATCACAGTATGGTAAGGGGCGTAACATTTCCGTCACACGCTTGAGGTATTCGGCCAATCACAACGCACTAGATAGCTGGCCAATCACAGCACACCTCGCTTTTCAGACCGATGAGCTTTGTAAAAATCGACACGTTTCAGAAAGGCGGGGCATAGAGGAGAAACAATAATGTACAGTATGTGGAAAATAATGTGTTTTTTGAACCTTAAACCGCATAAACACATTTCATTACACCAGATACACCAAATAATGTTCTTTTTAGCAACATCATATGACCCCTTTAAGCCTGTCTCTCTTTCATCTCTGGAACAAAGAAGGATATGTTTGTCTTTCATAGAGTTATAGTAGGCTAACTAGTATTCCATATGTGGATGGTGACTGCATCTTTTTAATAAATAGTTTAATTTTAGTTTGTCTTTCACAAAAGCTAGCAATACGGTGCATGATCCGAATAGACAACTTTCATTATGCTTTTACTGTGTTTTGTCTTGATAACCCTCGGTGGTTCCTATCCATTTTCATTGCATGGAGGTGAGCAGTATTAATATTAGTCATAACTTCTGTGTGTTAGACAGAAATTGTATACCTTATGAGTTCGGACTGACACCAGGCTTTCTAAATGGTGACAGAGCTTTATTTATTTATTTTTTGGTGAACTGTCCCTTTAAGTGTGGTTCATGTAGGTCATCACCACAATTGCTTTCGCACAGTACAGCCATCAGTCATAACAGTGTAAAGTGCAAGCTGACATCTGCCCCCCTCACATTTGCGGTTGGTTCCTGTTCTGTGTGGCATCGTACACGCACAGCATGGATAATTTATAGCTCTTTATCTGGTTGGGTTAGTGACTGTTGTGCTCGCAGCATAACGGCACAGCCATGTCGTGTGATCAAACATTATTGACTTGAGCAGTCAATAACTGTGACAACTGTGGTTTTTCATTCTCAGTACCACAGAGAAATGCTACTTAAAGCAGCATGCAACACAATGAATGGCCCAGCACACATCGTTTAAGCATTTACGAGAGCTGCTCTTTTGAGGACATTAACGTTTAATTTACACCTACTTATGTCTTCAGATCGAGGTTATGTTGGACCCTTTTACGTTTTGAATTAGTCAGGGTTGACTTATTTTAGTACTGAAGTGAGTGAGATGCTAATGATATACTTTTGACACATTTTAGTAAGTATAAAAAGTGTTGGTTCTTGTGTTTTCTTATGACTTTTTGGAGTCCTGTCGATTGAAATTTACCAATTTGGTGAGAGAGTAGAGAAAAGTTTGCATAGTGTGATGGGGCTCATTGGAATTCTCAAACATCATTGTTTAAATTCATTTGTGAGGGTAAATGTTGAACATTTTTAACTAGAAACTGGATTTGTTTCAGTGTTGGAGCCCAGGTTTGTTGTGAAGCTTTGAAACTGGTGTTGATGAATCCTCTTGAAAGCCGTCACCATCTGCCAGACGTTATCCCTTCAGCAGAAGTGTTGCAATTCATACAAAGGCTTAAAAGTTGTGAGCAGCGAGAGCGTTGTCTTTTTCTGTATGCAAAACATGTCTGGCGAGAAGACTGTTTAGTTATCTGAGCTCTCTCTCCATGATGAGGTGTGGTTTTTTTTGGACCTTTCCCATGCTCGTAAAGTGCTGAGGGAGATGCAGAAAATCACATCAGCCTCAAAAATCCCCATGAAAAACCATCAGCATACAACATGACGTTTTCATGCTAATACTTTGGCTGCATAATTGTGGAAGTTTATTGATTTCCACTACTATTGATTTTTTACAAAAAATATAATGTTTTGTAATGTGGCAAGACTTCCTGCAGATTACAGTAATTATGTTAATTATCAAAGCTGCCATAAGCATTGGGATTTTAATACAGCGTGTCCATTTATTTCAAAATAATCAGATACATTAAAATAATCAGTATTTATTAACCTTTGGGTAAAGGAAAAAAGAAAAATCTATGTATATTTTGAAGAATGTTGATAACCAAACAGTTGATGGTAGCTATTGACTTCCAAAGTATGAAAAAATATACTATAGAAGTCAATGGCTACATCACTATCCCTTTAAGTCCTTAAAAAGTCTTAAATCAGAGTAGAAAGTTTAGCATTTTTAGTCACGGCATTAAGTGTTGCATTCACTGCAAAAAATAATTAATGTCTTCCTTAGTATTTTTGTTTTCCAAAACAAATATCTAAATATCCTTACATAAAGACATACATTTACTTGAGAAGATGCAAATGTAAAATATAGTTTATGCTTAAAACAAGAACACATATGTCAGTGGGGTATTACAACTTGTTTTCCCATTTAATTAAATAGTTTGACAGACATTTGTTACTTGATTTTGATAATTTCCACAGAAAGAAGATGATCTTTTATGTAATTAAATATTGCTTCTCAAGTAAATGTATCTTGATTTAAGAGTTTTTTTTGTTTGTTTTTTGGTGTGTGTATATGAAATGATTTTTAGTAATGTAGATGGCTTGATAATATTGCTAGTACAACAGACAAACAATTGTTCCCTTCAAATTATTCCTTAAATTTTCTTTACTTAGTCTTAAAATGGTCTTAAATGTACCTGCAAACCTGACATTGCTGTGCCACCATTTGAATGAGTTTTTCCCCTACTTAATTTTCCTCAATTATTGTGTTATCAGTCGTTTCAGATAAACCAGACCTAATTGACACATAAAGACAAAACAAACTGTGGTTGAGTGCATTAAACGCTGGTCTCTTCCTGTCTAAGTGGGTTCCTCTTTACCGGAATAAGTTGCAAAGTGGACCAGACTACTTAAGACTACCATTACAATATGCCACACATTGTTTATACAAACACATTTATTAGGTATGAAAGATTTTGTGTACAAAGCATTTTACTATCATTAAAATAGCTTTACCCTTCGCTATCCAGTATTTAGTCAAATACTATATTCAAAGTATGCAGGTTTGAAAGTCTTTTGAGTTCAAGTTACTGATGTAATCACTGAGTCATATCTAGTTTGACTCGGACACATTTGCATAGCCCGATCATGTCTGGATTATCTGCTGCACCTGCAAATTGACTGTATTATTCTTCTCATTGTACACCCCCCTATCCTCCCCGCTGCCGCTTGCTCACTCGCTTTATTTATTTAATTTAAATTTTTTTTTAAAAGAGTATTTTAGTAAATTTCACTGAAGCCACTTATTGTAATATATGCTGTGTGTCGGATTGTTTTATTGAATGCAAAATTATTATTATTTTTTTTTAGTGATGCACCGATACCACTTTTTCCAGTACTCGCCTGATACCGATACTTTTATTTTTGGTACTTGCCGATACCGAGTACCGATATTTTTATTGCATTTATACA